TCACCTTTAGGTTGGAGCTCGTTCGCTGCGCTCACTCGCCTCCAGGTTGAAGTTCGTTCGCTACGCTCACTCACCTTTTGGTTGCAAATTAGCTGTTGTCATAAATGTAAAAGAAATAATAGTGCTGCACCCTGTTGGTAATCCTTGTAACTTTAATGCTATTGAACATCATAGAACAGAACCAACTTGTTTAATTGAAACAGCTGTTAAGATTCATTAATTCCATTTCTCATAAGGTTAACATGGGAAACTCCAGAGCCACTGGGGCGGAGCCCTTTTAAGAATTTCGAAACGGGAAATAGTTTACGTCCGATTCGCATACCTACAGAATTTACACACCAAATTTCATAACGATCGGTGAAGTCGTTCCGGAGGAGTTTGCAGACAAACACTGTGACACGAGAATCCTATACTCTAATACGAGCAATGTTTGCTTGTATGCTTGCTTGCTTGCTTGCTTGCTTGCTTGCAGAAAGATCTCGAAAACGGCTCCGACGATTTTCTTCAAATCTTGTAAATAGTTTATTTTTGGCCTAAAAACGAGTTTCATGCAGTTAGAACTGCCAACAAAAATCTAATTACGTAGAAAAATGAAACTGAAAATCACATTTTTTTAACATTAGTCTTATGGGTTGCTAGGTAACCATGTTGGATGAATTAAATAACAAGGATAAAGTAAACAAAAGACTTGAAGTTGTAGCATGTGTTCATAGTAAGCCAAATACCCACAGTATACTAGCAAATTACAAATACAGTACAAAAGGAAAACATCACTTAATAATTAGCATAATATTTAGCAAAGATTATACTGAAGATTACTCGATACATTGTAGGGAGTATGTTTTATAGTCTATGGTTTTATATGGTTTTATCATGGTTTTATCTATGATTGTAGTCAAGGGCAGCAGTGCGAAGTCTGGGATCTGTTTATGACGATTAGATTAGATTAAGGTATCTGCAATCCTAAAATGCTATGGGAAGGGAAGGAAACAGGTCCGCGACATAGGAAGTGGTGAAGGAAGTAATAAAGGCAATCATAAAATGCTATGGGAATAGAGGGAAACAGGTCCGTGACGTAGGGAGTGATGAAGGAAGTAGTGAAGGCGAGCAGTCCGGAGTGTGGGGAATGTTTATGACGATAAGATTAGGGTATCTGCAATCCTAAAATGCTATGGGAAGGAAGGAAAACAGGTCCGCGACGTAGGAAGTGGTGAAGGAAGTAGTCAAGGCGAGTAGTCCGGATTGTGGGAACTGTTTATGACGATTAGATTAAGGTGTCCGCAATCTTAAAATGCTATGGAAAGGAAGGAAAACAGGTCCGCGACATAGGAAGTGGTGAAGGAAGTAGTCAAGGCGAGCTGTCCGGAGTGTGGGAACTGTTTATGACGATTAGATAAGGGTATGGGCAATCCTAAAATGCTACGGGAAGGGAGGGAAACAGGTCCGCGACGTAGGAAGTGGTGAAGGAAGTAGTCAAGGCGAGCTGTCCGGAATGTGGGAACTGTTTATGACGATTAGATAAGGATATGGGCAATCCTAAAATGCTATGGGAAGGGAGGGAAACAGGTCCGTGACGTAGGAAGTGATGAAGGAAGTAGTGAAGGCGATCAGTCCGGAGTGTGGGGAATGTTTATGACGATAAGATTAGGGTATCTGCAATCCTAAAATGCTATGGGAAGGAAGGAAAACAGGTCCGCGACGTAGGAAGTGGTGAAGGAAGTAGTCAAGGCGAGTAGTCCGTAGTGTGGGAACTTTTTATGACGATTAGATTAAGGTGTCCGCAATCTTAAAATGCTATGGAAAGGAAGGAAAACAGGTCCGCGACATAGGAAGTGGTGAAGGAAGTAGTCAAGGCGAGCTTTCCTGGGTGTGGGAACTGTTTATGACGATTAGATAAGGGTATGGGCAATCCTAAAATGTTATGGGAAGGGAGGGAAACAGGTCCGCGACGTAGGAAGTGGTGAAGGAAGTAGTCAAGGCGAGCTGTCCGGAGTGTGAGAACTGTTTATGGCGATTAGATTAAGGTATTTGCAATCCTAAAATGCAATGGGAAGGGAGGGAAACAGGTCCGCGACGTAGGAAGTGGTGAAGGAAGTAGTCAAGGCGAGTAGTCCGGAGTGTGGGAATTGTTTATGATGATTAGATTAAAGTATTTGCAATCCTAAAATGCTATGGAAAGGGAGGGAAACAGGTCCGCGACGTAGGAAGTGGTGAAGGAAGTAGTCAAGGCGAGTAGTCCGGAGTGTGGGAACTGTTTATGACGATTAGATTAAGGTATTTGCAATCTTTAAATGCAATGGGAATGGAGGGAAACAGGTCCATGACGTAGGAAATGGTGGTGAAGGCGAGCCGTGTGGAGTTTGGGAATGGATTTATGCATCTCCAATACTAAGGTGCTTTCAGAGTGAACTAATGATTTTCCCCGAGCAAAGCTCGGTCCCCAGGTACTTTTATATATTAGATTTGGCTTGAAGGGCGGGATCGCGAACCAGCATGATCGGACGATGGGATCGGGGTTTTATGGAGTGGATTGGGTGTTCTCTTTTAGACCATCAAAACTTAACATTTCCCAATTTATCTTTAAAACATTTTAAAGAGCTTTAAAAAAAAAACAATTTTGTATATTGAAGTGTTTTCATACTTATTTTTTATGGATAAAATTAAAAAAAACTGAAATTTAAAATTCTTATTTTATAATTATGGAGACTAAGTAAACTGTTGTAGTTTGCTTGTTTTTTGGATGTATTTTAAACAAACTTGACAAATGTATTTATTTACCAAGCTATTAATATTTTACAAAAAACACACACGTTATTATCTTCCCTAATCAAGCATACCTAGGTAGGTACTTTGTCAAACCGAATGGTATTTAAATGGATTTAATTGAAAATCCAATCAGGCAAATGGAAAATCGCTTAGTCTACAGGTTTGCTTGTGATGATAGTATTTTTTACACATTTTACTTCTAAAAGTTCCACCATTGGGTTAAACAAAAATAAATATAATGAAATCGCAAGGGTACAAGAAGTCGCATAGGGGATTTTATCGAACTACTTTACTTTTATGTGTTTTATTTTATATGTGTTATAAAGTGAGCCCATCGCATTTAATGAGTCTATAGTGTATCTGGTCATACGCTCCCAGAGGTGTGTGCTAAAAGGTATTTACTCAGGGGAGGTATAGAAGAGGCTACGATGACAGCTGTGGGCTTCTTATTAGCTGAGGGAACGCCATTACCGTAACAAAACGGACAATAGGCATCGGCCTCGGTGGTCTAATGGTTAGCGTGCTGGGCTGATATACTGTAGGTCCCGGGTTCGAATCCTGCTGGTAGCATTAACTTTTTGTCCAAGATGTTTTTATTATCAGCAAGTTTGGTTGGTTTGGTTCGGTTATTACAGTTTAATTTTATTATTAAGTCATTATAAAATTTTAATTGAACAATTTCTAGTTTTATTAACAGAATTATTTTTCCGATTACTAAACTTTTGTTATATTATTTCTTTATCAGCAAGTTTGGTTTGTTCGGTTAGGTTATGATAGTTTAATTTTATAATAAAAAAATAATAAAATTGAATTTGAGGCAATTATAATTTTATTTTATGAACAGAACTATTTTTGCGATTAGTAAACCTTCATTGCCAAAGTGCTCTCTACTACAGCGCTGTTCACGGTGGAATTTAGAACTAAATGCCTCATTCGTACCTCCCCTAAGTCAGACCCGTGCTAAAACCTGGTAACCATGGTTACCACAGCACGGCTGACAGTCTATATTTAATTCTTTTTGTCTATGATCTGGTATATCAGTACAAAGTGATGAGGAAAGCCACTTAAATTACATTATGATTTAGGCCAAATTAGGCCCAGTTAAGAAATGTTTATAAGTTCAATAAATTCGTCAAATATATATAGTTTAAGTTATTTAGAGGGATCCTGAGAGTTTAAGAGCTCAATTTTTAGTGGGATTCCTGTACCTATTTAGATTTGGTTCTTGTGGGTTGTTGAAAGGTAGACTTCTGTTTTATTATTTTCATGAGTTTACCGACTTCAGACGTTAACCTACACTTCAGCCCCTGGCCTCAGTTGAAGACTTGGCATTTGTGTCCAATAGCCCTTGATGACTATGTGATTTCAGAGCTTGAACGAATATCTATATGAAGAAAACATACACAAATTTAGTACATAATTTAGTAACAAATTTGGTAATAATTTACTTAGTAATAGGACAACCAATGTTATATAATATGTTTCATAATACTGAAAAACGTTAACTCTAATCAGATCAGCAACATTCCTACTCTTATGCAGTAAGTGATTGTAAATATTGTGACAACTTTTTGTGTGTTTTTTTACTTTGTATTGTGACGAATATTTATCTCAATTATGGAAAGCAAGTGAAGCTCTAATCAATTTTAAGAACCTCTGTTGATTTTTCTGCAGTAACAGTACCTATCATACTAATCATAATTAATTAATAACAAAAAATAAAAAAGGCAATCACCATTCTCTGAAAAAGATAATTAATTCTACAAGAAACAATAATTATAGTTCATTTGTTTTTGAGATTCTCCACAGATTCAATATTATACTGTACACTGTTATTCATTTGCAATCAACTCGTATTTTTAAACCACAAAAATAGTTTGAACGATTACAACATTATTTGGAAATAAAACAAAAATGTTTAAACCATGAAAATAATAATAATAATAATAATAATAATGCTACTCATTAAACTAGTATTTATTGGCTAAGACTCTTATTTTTCTCCTTGAAAGACAATTGTTTCCTATAATAGTTCGTTATAATAATTTCTTATAATATATATTACTTATAAGTAACGCTTATAATCAACGAACTGAGTTATTAGGCTATTCGTGTTTTGTTTTCAGCTTTCTACACTCGATTTCAGTACAGTAGTCCTTGCCTTCAATGTCTTCTGACTGTCAAACTGTTTTTGTTTGTCGTCTGCTAGTATTGTACACTTTGTTCTGTCTGTATTCTGTTCTATTTGCCTGTTGCGGTATGCAGAAGGGTGAATTTTCATAAATTTTAAGAAACAAATCTTAAACTGGCTTTGCCTTTGACATATACACGCTGTTGTTCTTGTTCAAGAACGGTTATATTGTGATTTAGTTTATTTCAAACTGCGGTATTAATATTTTAAAAGTAGGTTAGTAGGGTTAGAATAATTGTACTCAAGATGGCAAATCCTTTCCTCGGTGCAAATGTCTCAATTAAATGTTTTGATGGACTTGGTGTGTATCAAGGTTCAGTTTTAGATGTTAATTCTGAGAATCAATCCATTTGTTTAGGAAAGCCGTTTAAAAATGGTTTTGCCTGCACTGAGCCTCAAATTGTATTAAGGTGAGCTATTGTTAAACATTACTTAGACTAGAAAGCAAGAAATGAACAAGTTATGCTACAGTATATTGATTCAGCTTCTGAGGTAGTAAGACAACAAAGTACTGCACTTAAATTCAACACACTACTGCTACGTGACAAATTCCTTTCCGACATGCAAACCACTACCTTACATTATGTGTTACCTATGTGTCGCTCGCCTTAAAGGGTGAGGGTCTCATACTTTGATGCGAGAGAAACAGGTTCGATCCCCGGCATCCACTCTAGGCTAATTATTTTGGCATAACTGGCATCGGATAAATCAATTCATCAATTTTTCTTACTAACTTAATCAATCTTAGCATTATTGGCGTGTTATCAATTGGGCTTGATTCTATAACTTGATAATAAGGTTCATGTATTATGCAATTTACTATTATTTTTGCCATATATCTTGTGATTTTGTTATTTAAATTAGGTTTATTAGTTTCTTTTCGCTTCTGCCTAAATAGGCTACCGGTACTGTAGCCTACTTTGTGAATGATCACATTGATACGGTATGATCATTTTAGAGTACAGTAGAATCTAGAATCCCTCTTATCCGGACACCTTTTAACCGGACATCGGTTTAACCGGACTACACTCGGCTGTTTGTAAATGACATCTCATTAACCGGACAATTTTTATCAGCACATTGGTCTAACCGGACTGGATCGGCAGGAAGTGTACTGAAACGACTGTTCTCTTGGGGGTAAGATTTGATACCAGAGTGATCACGTGTCTAAATACAATGTTCTCCTAAATTTAAGTCGAATATCACAGTAAACAGTCCGTTTTAACGAGTTTTTGGGGACGTCGGTTTAACCGGAAAACCCGTTATCCGGACTGGCCTCGGTCCCAGGAGTCCGGATAAGAGGGAGTCTACTGTAGTCAATCTACTTGTAAAATTGAAAACAGAGTTTATAGATTGTTTTGGTCTAATAACTTAGGCCTATCACAATGGAGTCGGATGAGTATCAAAGTTTTTCCTTTCACAAAGCTAACTTTTGTGAAGTTAATATTTCATAATTTTCAAAGCATAATTTGGCCAATTATGATATTTTATTGATTCTGCTTAAAAATTTCTGTAATTTGTAGTTGAAACTTTACCACATGTTTTAGTGCTCACATCATCGAGAGTATCAAGATAGTCGAGAATATAGACGAGCCAGATGCCTCAGTCGCCAGTACAATTGTAGTTCCCAAACCTGTGCCCAAACGCGCACACAGGCCTGTGAGTGAAAACATCGCTCATTTCAAACCAAACGTAAACACAACACCGAACAAGCAGTTTGCTAAACCTGCGCCTAAATTGAGTGAATCTCCCAGGAAAGCTTTGAATGATGCTGATACATTTCAAAGTGCCTTGTGTAAGTAGCTAACCTATACCTTTTTTTGTGTTTTGGTTGTATCTAGCGAGTTCCCGTATAGGGAAGAATCTACTAACGTAGGTTGCACAGCCAATTTATTTTTTCATTTTATGTCCCTTTAGGTCAAAAGTCAAATTTTTGTGCATAATATACCATCAACATTTTACCAAAATCCCCTTTTCCTTCACCTAAAGGTGAGTGAGCGTAGCGAACAAACTTCAACCAGGACGTGATTGAGCCATGCGAACAAGATAATCTTGAAAATTAAGAAGTTTAACGGGGCAAAGCCCGCGGGTTACAGCTAGTAGGGAATAAATTTGACATGTTTAAGGGAATATTTTTTGAAAATACAATCAGACGTAGGCTTTGGAAATTTACTAAATCAATAAATAAGGTTACCTTCGTCAATCAGCTCATAGAAGTTGAAACATTGTTACGGCCGTTTCAGCATATCCATGCGTAACAATGTTTCAACTTCTATGAGCTGATTGACGAAGGTAACCTTATTTATTGATTCAGTCACAAGATCAGCTCAGGGGCTAAAAAATATGGATTTTAATTTGGAAATTTGCTTAGTCTGTAGGTTTGCTACAGTGAGGGTATTTTTTATTTATTAAACAATTATTATGCTGCAATGGTTTATATGTGGCTGTCAAGAATAACAACCTAACGTTCACTTAGCCTACTACCATTGACTATACTAGGGTTGCTTTCAGAGAGGTGAAAGCCAGTTGAGCGGAACAAACGTGATTTGATATTTGTATAAGTAACTAAATGTAAAAAAGTCAATAGATGTATTAATGCTTGTTTTATTGATTAAAATTAGAATAATTCAAATTTGTTTTTACTACATCTTGTTATTCAGACACCTCTTCCAGAAGTGCATTATGGTAGTTTTGACCAGGAAAATATTACAGTAGTTGGAATCTGATATTAACATCCAAAAAGGGCATTAAAGTATAAAAAAGAGAAAGAAAATTTAACGTTCAAATTCAACTGTAGCCTACAACAAAAACATTGGTCTTCATTTTCCACCCTTACAATCGGTTAAAGTATTTAAGTATAAGAAAACAGTAACTATTTAAAAAACGAGTATTAAAGTATAACATCAGGAGGGGAAATTTGACATTTAAATTCAACTGTGCAACATAAACATTGGTCTTCATTTCAACCCTTGCAATCGGTTAAACTCAGCTTTCTTTGCTTAAAATAATTTATGATTGTTAATACCAAGTATTCTTGATATGATTGCAATGTAACTGGAATGTAGGTCTTCTACCATTATTGGGACGATTTAGAGACGGCATTTTAATACTGGCCTTAATAAAACCATTGACCATTGGATACAGAAGATTTTGATGAAAAAGCTGGCTATAAATTTAACATGGGGATGGAATGTCTAGTTGTATTGATAGTCCAAGATAAAACATAGGCCTACGAAAAATGTAGGGCTATTTCAATGCAAGAATCAAATGTAAAACACTTTTAAAAGACTTAAATGAACTGAATTATCAATCATGTATTTCAATGTGTAAAACTGCAAAAAGACTAATTTATTGAAAAATAAAATTAGATGGCTGAAATGTAGGCCTAAACATAAGTAATTTAAGTAAACATCGCACTCAGCTGATTTAAGTGAAAACAGAATAATAATAAGAAGGGAAGACATGTCTTAAATATACAATGTAGATAATATATTTATAAATTAGTAGCCTACTTCTGGACAGGCCTACACAATTATCCATACCGTGGTTAAAAGTGTATTTCTATAAGCCCAGGTAATTAATTATTTACTTATTATTACGGTTGTAACTGGACGTATGTATAGTCCGTGGCTTGGCAATCAAATAACAGTATTTATATGGGATAGGCTACTGTTATTAACATTTGAAATTACTGAATTGTTACCAAATTACTGTTTCACAAAATGCAGATTCCATTTTCAGCAGAGCCATTAAAATGAGGATTTGCCGAACAATTATTAATATTACAGAATAGCATTTAATGATGTACAACTTTTCACATTTCATAAATTATATGTTAGTTTTGCTATGGGCAAAATTCCAAATCCAAATGTTCTTTTCTTTTGGTTTTTATGTAGTAATTTGCTAGAATCATTGACTTTATATAAATTCAATGCTAGAATACAGTAGATAATTTGTTAAGACCATATGCAAACATTTTTGAAACCGTTTCCCCGTTTAACCAACTATTCCAAAAGATAACAATTATATGGTGCAACACAAATAAACAACCCGATCACCTACCTATAACCTACACTTTACCTCCCTAATCTAACCTTACTTCAAAACACTTAATGTAGTCACGAATACTCATAAACCCCGACCTACCTTCCCCCCATGCCTACATTAGATCAGTGTCCAATCTGCGTTTTATTAATAAGTGTAATAACTTACTGCACCGTCGATGTAATTCAACATAAAATAATCTGTGATGTATTATCGGATTAAATATCGATTTCGATGCGGTTCGATATATCGCTTATTAAATCCTGATTTCTTACATTGGCTGTTTCTAATCAGCTGGCAACACAAATAGGTTCCCAAGAAAGTAGTCACTGGTCCGTATCCCTCCGCTCCTTGTTTATGCTCCGCGCATTGAGTTGAGAAAGTAGTTCCGTATATTTTCTCGATTTTCAGTGAATTCCGCGCCTTAAAAAAATGTTTTAACGGCATTTTCTTGTTTATTAAAATCATAGGAATGGTTTAAAAACGTTTAAAAGAAAAGTATAGAAAGTTCAGAAATGCCTTATGATTCTCTTGTTTACAATTTTCTTGTAAACAAAAAAACTGTCATAGCTACTTTAGTCCCATAAGCCTAATGTTAAAAATTTGAAATTTTAAGTTCGTTTTAAATTGCATTAGCATTATCTAATTGAAATTTGTTTGTTTACAAACCATCTCATTATTAGTCTAAGTAGTCTTGTTAAGTTTGGCTGAAATGTGTTCAGCCGTTATTGAGTGATGGTGTTATATTGTTTGCATTGAAGTTGATCCCAAAGAGCTTCGCTCGCTTCGCTCGCTCCGCTCAACAAAGCGTAGACTTCTGATCGAATGTAAAACATTTGACGCCAAAAAAGGTGGTACAATCTGTTGAGATGGTCTACCAACTAATTACAATATTCTGTTATAAAGTGATAAATTAATTAATCAGCTGTTAGTATGGATTTTAATTAATATTTAATCCAATTTGAGATGGTCCTGAACTTCATGTATTTACTTGGCTTCAAGTTTGTACATTGGATGGGAAGTCTACACTGTAATGCAAAAGTCGCTCTATTTGTCACGCAATCACTGACCCTGGAAATACTATTTAGTACCAAAAGGACACTTTCTCTACGTGTAATGAACAAATATTTTCATCATACTGTGGAAATACCTTTCTAATCTTTACAAAATTAGACCACATAATTAATTTGAGGTTATACAAAGTCGTTATCAATCATGTTTACACTTCTATTGTTTACAAACATAGCTTGTGCTATAAACAAATTTTGAGGTTTCTAACTAAATAATTTACCATATGTTTTTTCTGTTCCCTATTAAAGTTTTCCGAAAACAATGATTTTGCGGACGATTTAGACAACTAAAAACAGCTGTTTCCGGACAGTATGATGAATTTAATTGTACACAAAGCTCAGTTGCATATATAGATTCTCAAAATGAGCTTGTAGTGAGACAATTACTGAAGTGTTATTTAATTTTAATCTTTTCTTTGATTTTTTAGTTGCCAACAGCAACAAGAAAAACCCTCGGCACAAATGGACGGAAAGAGACGAGGCTTGCTTTGGCGAATCGATAAAACCTCATCAAATGATGAAAGAATTTGACTTTGAGAAAAACCTAGCGTTGTTCAACAAAAAGGTATGTTTGTTAAACTTTTTTCAACCCAGTTGATAATTGTAAACAGTTTTATCGAGATGTTTTCTCGAACACCAACGCCTGATTTTAAGAAAATTGTAAAAATTTGGGTCTATGAGAGTCTACTGTACAGCTCGTAACATGTAAGCTGGCACTTAACCAATCACTACTAGCCTGGTTATGAAAAAAAAACTTGTTGTACCCTCATGCGAGTTGCTTCAACTGTCCTCGATACCCACGGGAAGGCGCTCAAGTATATGAAACACAGGGAGTCAATCCCATGAGTCAGCAGAAATGTTTGCAGTCAGGTATTTTCCTTACCTCCACCCTCCGTCTACACTGCCAGCTTACGTCCAAGCTGAACTTAATTTTTCCTTATGTCATTTGAAGAAATTGGTTATAGATCTCTTCTATCTCTTCTATTTCCCTCTGTAGAAATTGGTAAATAGTTATTTAAACTTCTTCTTTGGATGAATTACTCTCCACGTGCAAAATTTTACTCATTTTCTATTGAAAAATTGCCCTCCAGGTGCCCAATTTTTCTGTTTTTCTTTGGATGAATTGCTCTCAAAATGCTCAATTTTACTCATGTCCATTGAATGAATTGCTCTCCAAGTGATCAACTTTTCTGATGTTCTTTGAATGAATTGTTCTCCAAGTGATCAACTTTTTTGACATTCTTTGGACGAATTGCTCTCCAAAGGATCAAGTTTTCAGATGATCTTTGAATGAATTGTTCTCCAAGTGATCAACTTTTATGATGTTCTTGATTGAATTGCTCTCCAAGAGATCAACTTTTTAGACGTTCTTTGGATGAATTGCTCTCCAAGTGATCAACTTTTCTGATGTTCTTTGAATGAATTGCTCTCCAAGTGATCAACTTTTCTGATGTTCTTTGAATGAATTGCTCTCCAAGTGATCAACTTTTCTGATGTTCTTTGAATGAATTGCTCTCCAAGTGATCAACTTTTCTGATGTTCTTTGAATGAATTGTTCTCCAAGTGATCAACTTTTATGATGTTCTTGATTGAATTGCTCTCCAAGAGATCAACTTTTTAGACGTTCTTTGGATGAATTGCTCTCCAAGTGATCAACTTTTCTGATGTTCTTTGAATGAATTGCTCTCCAAGTGATCAACTTTTCTGATGTTCTTTGAATGAATTGCTCTCCAAGTGATCAACTTTTCAGATGTTCTTTGAATGAATTGCTCTCCAAGTGATCAACTTTTCAGATGTTCTTTGAATGAATTGCTCTCCAAGTGATCAACTTTTCTTACGTTCTTGGATGAATTGCTCTCTAAAGGATCAAGATTTCAGATGTTCTTTGGATTAATTGCTCTCAAAATGCTCAATTTTACTCATGTTCTTTGAAAGAATGGCTATCCAAGTGATCAACTTTTCTGATGTTCTTTGGATGAATTGTTCACTAAGTTTTAAACCTGTTAACTCATGTTTAAGGCCGTCTTTGAGGAGATAAACGCCAATCAGAGGCCAGATGTTGTGAAACAGACTGACCGACCTAACCGCAACTATAAAATTGAAGAGGTCCAGTCTCGCTTCCGTCAGATCGCTGTTCCTCAGACGTACTACAAGGAGTATATCACTGGTATGTTTTATTTCCTAAAAGTAAGTTAAGTGTAGGATTTTTAAATAAACTTGACACAATCTACCTAATATTTCAAGAATAGAGAAATGCATTAGGCCAACTAGTCATATCAGTTCTGTCAGTATTATGTAAAATCAACATATTTCATACAAAAAAGTACAAAAATCTGTTTGGAGAGTCTTTTATCAGAGTAACAACGATTTATTGTAGAAACTTTTCTAAGTTAATATCTGGTTTCCTTTGATCGGTATGCTTGTACCTTGTTTTTTGGAAATTACATTCTGCGGATGATTGAGCCAGCGTGCTTTACACTCCATTAGTCATCGTGCTAAAAGCCACAGTTATGAAATACTCGACAACTAGGGGAAACTATTAAAGCTCATCGCCAGAGTTCCCTTGTGTCAGAACAGCCTTTAAAACTATAACCCTCAAAAACAATCTTACACACATAGCCGTACTGGCACAAGAGAGTTTTATTGGGTTTTGTCGTGTTGGCTAGATGAGGGGATGGTAGTGCCCAGCCTGACTCCCAGTTTACTCTCGCAGCTGTTGGTAGCCATGGAGGAGGCGGAGCTAACGTTCCCTCGTCAGGCAGAGCTGATGGGACGGGCTGTAGCGGAGGTGTCAATACCCTTACTCGGCGGACCTCACAGGTACGATAAGTAACATAGGTTTAAACTTTTACAACACTACTGAAAAAAACTGTTAACTGTCTAAAAAGAAGGTCTTTGTAAACTTAGTTTAAGTGATAACAATCTTTACTAGGTAAAACAACTGATACAGTGAGAAGTTATTTTTGACTTAAATTCTACTCATCAGTAGGGTATTATTAACCTAAGGGGAGTTGTTAAGTATTCGGAATTAACTATTCATTATTTGTCTCAGTGTGTTTATGCTAGGGTTGTTTGGATAGTAAGCTCCAATGAATTAAAAAAAAATCTAACAATGGAACAGGGATAATAAGACCCTCGATAACGAATGTCATTTTCAAATACCCTTGATTTTGTACTTCCAATCATTTTTATTTTATTTGGTACAGTAATAACCATTTACATTGAAGCAGTTAATGCACTTTGCAAACCTTACCATTTGCAAACTTAAATTACATGGTATTATTTTTGTTAGCAATGTTAGCATACTTGTTATCAAGGGGTTCTACTCTAAAACCAATCTAAATATATAAAAGGCAAAGCCCTCACTGACTCACTCACTCATCACTAATTCTCCCACTTCCCATTTACCTAGGAGGCTGAAATTCGGTACACGGATTCTTTGGGCATTAAATAGGAAAACTAAGTAGTTTTTATTCTGATCGGGCTTTCGGGCTCCGCCCCAGGGGCTCTGGAGTTTCCCATGTTAACCTTATGATTTTTCATATTTAAAAGGAATTAATGCATCTTATAGTCCAGGACCTAACTAGGGTTCTGTGTGCATGTCGTGTATAGAGAATTTTGCTTTTGCATTTCAATATAGGTGTCTTAGGAAGTGTTTTCCACTCGGGTGTCAAGTTCGCACCTGGTACGTTTTCGAGCTATGACGTCATCAAAATGGCCATTGATTTTTTTAAATCGTATATTTCGCAAACTATTTGTCGGATCGGAATGAACTTTTTTTTGTTTGAAAGATAATTTTAAATGCTACCTGTTTTAAATTTACACATTTGTTGTATGTTTAGTACATTCTTCGTAATTTTGCAAAAACCTGTATTTTTAAATATTTTTGTGTTATTTTTGTTTGTAACGTTTTATTGATACAATTTATCAAAAACCACCATTTTAATGACGTCATAACCGGAAACTGCAGTGGGTGCAGACGTGACACCCGAGTTGAAAACACTTATTTAGACACATACATCAACATTGAATGGTAAAACTGTCTTTATAAGACTTGCGAACTGCCCTAGATGCCGGACTAATAGGCGTTTTTGCGCCAAAATTGGTGTTTTTATGAGATTTATCTAGTTTCTTGAAGTAATCTTTTGAGTAAAACATATCGACTTTGGTATTTTTGTAAAGATTTTTAAACGTTCTACAACTTTTTTCATTGGTGGTTTTTGATAAATTGTATCAATAAAACGTTACAAACAAAAATAACACAAAAATATTTAAAAATACAGGTTTTTGCAAAATTACGAAGAATGTACTAAACATACAACAAATGTGTAAATTTAAAACAGGTAGCATTTAAAATTATCTTTCAAACAAAAAAAAGTTCATTCCGATCCGACAAATAGTTTGCGAAATATACGATTTAAAAAAATCAATGGCCGCCATTTTGATGACGTCATAGCTCGAAAACGTACCAGGTGCGAACTTGACACCCGAGTGGAAAACACTTCCTAAGACACCTATATTGAAATGCAAAAGCAAAATTCTCTATACACGACATGCACACAGAACCCTAGTCAGGTCCTGGACTATAAACAGCTGTTTCAATTAAACAAGTTGGTTCTGTTCTATGATGTTCAATAGCATTAAAGTTACAAGGATTACCAACAGAGTGCAGCACTATTATTTTTTTAAATTTATGACTACAGCCAATTTGCGACCAAAAGGTGAGTGAGCGTAGCGAACGAACTTCAACCTGGAAGCGAGTTAGCGTAGTGAACGAGCTAACCTGAAGGCAAGTGAGCGGAGCGAACGAGCTCCAACCTATATAAAGGTGAGTGAGCGTAGCGAACGAACTTCAACCAGGACGTGATTGAGCCATACGAACGAGCTCACATGTGAAGTTAAACGGGGCAAAGCCCGCGGGTACAGCTAGTGTATTATACAGTGTGATTGCAAAGTCCCGGAACAGTTTAATATATTTTTTACCGTTACAGATAAAGTATTGATACTTGGTATATCAATAATAACCATAATGTCTACTATTTTAAGCTATTATCACTTTTTTGTCCCTTAAGGGGGACGGCCCACGAGGAGTCAGACAAATTTTTTAAATATCAGCACAGGTCGAGTTTGGTATCAAATTTAAGGTCTTAGTTAGTAGAATACATTGCTACAAACCCGAACTCAAAAGAACAACTGAGTCAAAACTGGCAGTTGTTCAAAGATTGATCAAAGAGCATTAACTTCTAAGGGGGTTGCACTATTTTGTTTAGAACTACAAGGACCATAACATTTTAGTTACAATTATTTTTCAAACGTAATTTATATAGCAATTGGAATTGTAACATTTTGTTTAGAATTTAAAGAGCTGTAACATACTAAAAATGTATCAAAAGTTCCGGCCATTTTCGAGAAAATTATATTTTTCTTATTTTATTGGTTTTTATGAAAAAATCACTATTAAAAATTAAAATTTCAAAAAAGGTAAAAAAAACACTGGAGATACCATGGATTAGTACATACATACTAAATTTCATCAAATCAGACTACAGGTGTAGTCTGTAGCTCTTTAAAACAAAACACATACATACCCACAGACAGACATCACTTCGAAAACAACTTTTTTGGGTTCAGGGGGGCCTAAAACGGATATATCCACTCAAAAATCAAACCTTAAATTTTATGAAAACAATACTTTCTCCATATGCATATACTATGGTATAGGGGGGATAATAAAATTAGACATGCAGCTTTCAATCATATTTATAACTAGCTGTAACCCGCGGGCTTTGCCCCGTTTAACTTCTTAATTTTCAAGATTATCTAGTTCGCATGGCTCAATCACGTCCTGGTTGAAGTTTGTTCGCTACGCTTACTCACCTTTGGGTTGGAGCTCGTTCGCTGCGCTCACTTGCCTTCAGGTTAGCTCGTTCGCTACGCTAACTCGCCTCCAGGTTGAAGTTCGTTCGCTACGCTCACTCACCTTTTGGTTGCAAATTAGCTGTTGTCATAAATGTAAAAGAAATAATAGTGCTGCACCCTGTTGGTAATCCTTGTAACTTTAATGCTTTTGAACATCATAGAACAGAACCAACTTGTTTAATTGAAACAGCTGTTAAGATTCAATAATTCTATTTCTCATAAGGTTAACATGGGAAACTCCAGAGCCACTGGGGCGGAGCCCGAAAGGATTTTTGAAATAAGAATATGCCTATATGTTAATCGGGAATGTGAGCTATCATCATGTTGAATTTCAGCCCAATCCGACCAGTATTTTTCGCGTTCACTTGTCACAAACATCCAAACTTTCTCATTTATAATATTAGTAGGATAAGAAAATTATTTGAATGAATAGACATATAATGTATTTTATTTACATGGATTGGTTATAAATATGTGTTGCATACTCGGAAAACAAAATTGTCATTGCAGTATTTCTAGGGAAACTATTATCTGTTGAAACTGCTTTGTCTTCATACCAATGAGTCACAGATTTGTTGTTATTGTCAGCTTACTTTCGCTGAGCGAGCGTTGACACTTGTAGTTCTGTTATCAGTAGTCTACGTCATTGCTTAGTTCTTACCTCTCCTGAGCTACTTTGAGAATGAGAGGAAACTATTTGAATTGTTAAACAATTCTTTTGTTAATATAAAATTGTTTTTTTTTTTATTTTGTATGGGTCAGAATTTGTTGGGTCTTAAAATAATAATACAGTAAGGCAATATGAGAAAATGATATTTTTATCATACGTACAGACATAGTTCGTTTGAGCCCTTAAGTGGCAAATTCACCAACATTAAAATACCTATTGTATTCTACCTATTGTACCTATTGTATTGTTGCCTAACTATTGTATTATACCTATTGTATTGAACCTATTGTATGCAATAGAATATTTTGTGTCACAACAACTAGGCCTATCTCAGTTACAAAAACTGAAGAAAATAAAATTTTAAACTCTAGCCCACTCTTTAAGTGACTTGCAAGCAGATTTTATTAAGAATAAAAAGTAGGCTACAACTGTTCCATATAATATAGATGGAAAGTCTATTATCCAATAAATAGACAATGTAACAACTACTGTTGTACCGTACTGTGTGTGTACAATGGGAATTACTGTAACAATCTGGGATTTATTAAGGACGAAGTTTAAATCTAAATATTAGCGCAGAACACATTTTTTGTAAATTTCAGCAAATGTCCCTGCTCTCAGTTACTGGACAAGAGAAACATGATAGAAATTTTCTACCTATTATTTTCCAAATTTAATTGGGTTTTTGTTAAGTGTCAAAAAGTATTTGACACATCCATTTTGGGTTTGATGGTTTGGTCGTAGCATAGAATGTGTGCTCTGATTGTTCTTCAGACAAGAGGTGTCAGCATTTTGTGTGTATGACGGCCGAACCGAAAAGCGTCGGGCAGTCAATTATGTTCAAAATGTGGGAGGTAAATTAGGAACTCGTGGTCGCAACTATATGCTGTCTTCTCCTCGGAGTGTAAATAGCTCACTGAAATTCTTCTCTTTGTAACAATTAGTAATTACTAATGAGTGGTAAATTATTCAGAATTAATATTTGTTAAACACTAAAATAGGTATTTAAATAACTCGGCCTTCCTTTTATAGTGCTTCCTAATACCCGTGGTCGTCCACCAATCCTAACCAATGTCCTGTTGACAGATTGAACCCTGTGAACAGCCAGCAGTGTCCGGTGGTGGTGGTACTAGCCGGTTCTCACAGGCCCGGCGCACTGGCTGTTAACAGCGCCAGGCAGCTGGCTACCCAGGGCGTGGACACCATGGTGTTCCTCAGCCATCCTACGCTGTATGACGAGAACGTCAACAGGGAACTCAACCTGTACAGACTCACGGGGCAGAAAATCACTGACAATGTCAACGGTAAGTGAAGAGACAGTAGGAGAAAGTCTGAACATTAGAAGGTCTCAGGTTTGATGTTTGATCCTAAGAAAAATGAGTAGTTTGGTGGTTTGAAACTGTATGTAGATGTCCTTGATCAAAGAATATGTTCATTTCAGGCAGTTATTATATGGACAAAACTAATTATTGACTGTCAATTAAATTTGTAGGTTGTAGATCCAGAATGGAAAGATTGATTTACTTACCTCAATCAGGTTATAAATAAAAGGAGCCTCTTTGAAATTAATTTTCATAAACGGTTTTGTCTCTTTTTAAAATCTTACCGTGGTTAAATAGTAAACTAGATTAAAATCATTGCAAACTATTATACTGAAAGTTAGTCAGCACCAATGTATCTTTAAAGGGGAAGTCTAAAAATAAACAACAATAGAACTATGTGCTTTGTTACTCTAGGCCTAGCCTCAAATAATGTGTGACGCGGTTCCTTAGAGCCTGCATCCTAAAATGTGAAAATACTTTTACTCCCATGGCCATTGATACCCTCTAGGTGGTATTTGGCCTTGCTAACTAAATGCCTCCACTTTTTTATGCCCAGTACCTTCTTCCATGATACCCATCTTCCTTATATCTTTGGACACTTCATCTCTCCACATCTTTTTGGTACTCCCAGAAGGTCTTACAACAGGATTTTCTTTCCACACCTGCTTTATCAATGCAGTATCCTGCCTCAGTATGTGTCCGACCCATCTTAGTCGTCTGATTTTTGTTTCCGCAAGATCTCTTTTTTTTTATATGAATATACTACATAACAATTTTTGAAATTATCTGCTACAGAGCTGCCAACCTCCAACGTAGACCTGGTGATTGTGGGACTAGCGGATGAGAGGACAGTTAAGATACCCCGGCCCATCGTCTCGTGGGCTAGTGATAGCAAGAGTGTCATGTTGGCTATTGAGCCTCCGGGATCCGGCACTCCGGGAATTCCTGTCAAACACTCCCTGATGTCCGGACTGCCGGTTGCACACTGCCAGGACAACGGCAACCTGTTCCTAGTCAACCTGGCAGTACCTCAGATGGTATGTTTCTGTTAAAATTTTTTGAATTATTTCCTGTTGGGCCTAACCAAAGGATTTTATAGAGCAGTTATTTTCAAAGTATGAGTTGGAACAAGAGGAACAATTCCTCAACAAGTTGAGAAATTTTGGAAGAAATTCAATTTTGAAAATCAAGTGCTATATTTAATATCTTTAACAGCCATAAAATTTTCTATTAATATTATAAGAAACCACCTATATAACAATTATCATAATTAGGTTTAAACAAACTTGCAAAATTTAATGTAGGCTAATATTATTCTTTGTTCTACAGCAGACTACAATGTGTAGTAAGATTTCAATTTTTAAATTAAATTTGAATTTATATAGCCATTGTGAAATATTCATCGACTATCTCACTATATTTTGTAAATGCTAGATATTAAATTTTGTTCATATTTAGCTCCACTAGTAGGCTTTATTTACATTAGTACTTGACTAAAAAAATCGGTAGAACACTACTTAGCTGAAATTGAAAGAAAATTGAACATATTTCATTACTAAATATTAAAAATGAGTGCATGGGGGAGGTGTAGAAACAAAATGGTTGTTCAAACCAAGAAAAGTTGTATCAATTTAGTAGTTTTGTAAAGATGTATATGGGTTCTCAACGTATTCGTCCAATACAATAATGTATTATGGTACTGTATTTACACCAATACATTCACTAATTTAAATTATCTCTCGATGGTATGACCTTTTACTATACAGGCTACAAACCGCTAGCTTAAGCCCGATTTTTTAGAGACTACTGTATTTAACTTTGTATACAGAGATATCTAGGTTCATTTCTATTTTGGTCTTAGTATTCTTTTTCTATTTTTCAGCCCTGGTTAAAACTTACGAGAAGAATTTGTGGATTTAATAATTTCTCTAATCTATACTTCACTCATAAAATTTAGGTGGTTTGAGGGCAAGTTCCCACTACTACTTTTTTGTATTTAATGTATGTTGCTTAATCAGCTGTTGAGCTATTATTTTAAAGGTCAGGGTCAAGTGGAGGGGACAGGTTTCTTCCTGTAAAACCGACTAAATATTGTGAACAAAGTATAATATTACACAATGTACCATTTTGTCAGGGATTTTTTTAACTTGTTCGCTGTGGCACTTCAAGTGGCAGGCGTATCCCCAGTGTGGCGCAGCCCTCAGTCGAACAAACCCGATTGCCATGTGTGATTAGCTTTTAAATTTCGGTCTTACGAATAGCAAATATGTCCTGCTTTATGATGAGAGTCGATGTAGTTCGCTAAAACACCCACAGGTAGCAGCATTAATTGGAATTGCCAATTGGAGGGAGAAAGGCGAGAGAACCAGTTGATTTTTAAGCTTGCCAGACGGGGATTTTATGGGGAAATTTACTACCAACCTACACCACAACAAAAATCAAGTCACACACTACATGCTAACGTGGTATAGGTCCGCATTCGACCAATGCTACAACAAAAACGAAGATATACGAAAGGCATTGCCTAGCATTCCCGATTGGGTACGGACGCTGAGCACCTTACTTGATCAAGAACGGCCGCACAAAACGTGTTAAATTGGTTTCTTTGCTGCTTATTTGTGAAGACTAAGCGCTATTTCCCATCCTTGTCTGATTGTTTAGCTAATTTTTAATATTAAATATTTGTGTGCTATTTCTATTTTCTTAACACTTTCATTTCAGGTCTTCACCCGATTGAACATCCGCTACCGATCTCCATTTGGCTCAAAATTTGTGATTCCTCTTCACCCAAAAGAATGAAGACGTCCTTGGCCCTAAGGAGTCGGGCTTTAAAATTTGACTTCAGTATAGTTCATACCACGAATACTAGAAAAAACCCAGTATGGATCACAAACATAAACAAATGACGTTTTTGGCCCGAATCCTATACTAATAGCGGTTTAGACAGTTCCATTTAAACAATTTTAAATAATGTTTTACTTTCGGGCCAAAAACGTCATTTGTTTATGTTTATGATCCATACCGGATCTTTTCTAGTAATCGTGGGTCATATAGGCCTGAGATATAAGGCTAAAATTTGACTACAACCTTACTATGGTTGGAAATTAAACTTCTTCGTAAGAAACTAATAATACTCTAATTTTTTAGGTGATGATATTTACACAAAAGGTTATTTATTGTAGTTTTGTGAGTCCATATGACAATTTGTTTGAGAAATAACAAGTCACTTGTACATAAATGGTTCTGTAATGTTAAGTAGCAGCTTCGGATGAATATTAAATAATAAACGTGGTAAAAATGTAATTCAATCACTATGTCTGAATGTAACTGGCGTATTTTATCACAAAGTTTTATTTTATCTCGAAAAACAATCATTGTCTATTTAAAATGTGACTAAAATTATATACATATATATTTTTATTTTTTTATTAAATGTTGGTGCATGTAATACTTGTGGAGTTGTGTTAACTGGTTTGTAGATAAATTATTTTGTGTAAATTGTTTTTGTCTTAAGTGTTTGTAATCAAGTAAATAATATGGATCTAATATACTATAAGTTACACATTTTGAAAGAGCTTCTAAACGTGCAGTTGAAATATTGTGGGATAGTAAGCTATTAACGCTCTAGGAGTTGATCAAAATGATATTCTGTTATATTCTGTATAAACATTTAACCATGGGTATAACGGAAGAACAGTCCATTTAGATGTTTTAGGATGAAAATATTCCTTTGCAGCAAACCTGTTGACTAAGCGAATTTTCATTTGTCAGAGTAAGATAAGATAAAGGTTAGTCTTGATATTAATTTTAATTGGTGTGTCGGTGTGTGTATGAATATATTTTGGATAACAAATTGTATAGAGTACAAAATGTACCATGGTACAAATCTTTTTTATAAAAAAATTAAAATGTTGAAGCAAGTTTGTAAAACAGCTGATTGTGATAACAAGTAGGGAATTGTGAAACAATACTTTTATTTTTGAGTCGATTTGTTATGTTATTTTGAAAATGTTTTTGGGTTATATTTTGTTGTGTAAAAAATTATTTGTTTCGGTTGTAACTATGTTAAGACTAGTTTTTGAGGTTGATTAAGGTTAGGTGTTAGTGAAAATAATATTGAATAGTCCGATCTCAACACATTTATATCTACTGTATAGCTTACTTTTATAGTATAAGAAATTAATTATTTTTTTTACAATTTAAATATTCCTGTATTTCGGTAGTTTGTCCATGTCCAGACTGCTTTAGATTAGACCAACAATATTGTAATTTTTATGTCTAGCGATAGCTTTAAGCAGATAAACACTAAACAGACAGTTAACTATTATGGCAATTATATAAAATATTTTTAATATAATTGATTGGAATTCATTGAGTTATTCATTCTCCATAGCTGGAAATTGAATTCTGGTCAAAGTTTCATTCTACAGTAGGTCCTTACAAAGGACAATAAACAATTGAAATTTATTCAGTTCTGCTATTTTGAAATGTTAATGAAAGAAAAACTATTTAAAAGTAATCCCTTATCACTACAAAGTGGGAATTGGATTTAAATTATTCCTAAAACTACAATTTATGATCAGAACCTTTAGCTGTAATAAATTTCAATTATTTAAAAAGCAATCAGAATAGATCATGTTAATTTATTCAAATGATTGTAAAATGGTTTAAAAAGAAAAAAAACATGAAAACAATTTATTTGATCAAGCTGGAATTTAATTTTGAGAGTTACTTAAATCCTCTAAAGTAAAAAAACACTAAATCAGCCAGTTTATTTCTGATCACATTGACAGAATAGGTTGATGAAAACAAATAGCTTGTCATTGTTTGCTTATTGACTTTAAGTACTCAGCTTAACACCCTTCTTACCTAATCTACCACCTTTTTGTATTTGTATAGTATGTAACAAAATACTTTTCCCAAAAATTTTAGTACATATTATTATTGAGTTATAACATTATTTGTAGTAGCCTATTTTTTTATAAAATTATTTACATTATCGACAAAAAAAAACACTGTTACTTCTGAATATCATATTTTTACAAAAAAACCAATATATTGTGCAAAACATTGAACTCAAATAAAAAAACTGGGTATTTTGGTAGAACAATTTTTTTCTTTCCTTAACCTCAAACAATATTATACCTAGATTAATACCAACTATGGACGTAATTTTACAGTTGGCATTGAATTAAATTATTTAAAGTTTAATCATTTTATAGGGTGTTAATAGTTTATTGTTGGTAATGGTAACTTCGAATAGATTTAGAAAAAAAACTGAATTTTAAAATTTATAACATCAATAAAACTAACCAGTGAAAAAGTTGTCTCAATAAGTGTCACAAATTCCACAGTTTTTGCGTCCCAAAACTTGTTATCGAGACAAAATTAATATAGTGCAATATCCATGTACCTTTTCAAGATAATGTTTGTTTATAACAGTTATTATGTGAAAAGAACTAATAATTTACAGCTATTTTATTTTATAAATGTGATTCACCTAACTCAATCAGGTCACAGTTTTCAAAAATTAGCCTATTTAAAATATATTTAAATAGGGGCAAAACCCAAAATACTATTTGCAGCTGTGCTTTACTAAAAATAGCTCCTGAATGGTAAAAATCGGTTTAGTTGGACGGCTGGAAAAGGGATCTAACATAGAAAACACTTACTGTACTAAGTATTATAGATGATGTATTTAAATCTAATAATATTATGGACGATGTTAAGGATTTTTCAAGAAACCAAAGTTGAACTCGATGGTTTTATTCATAAAGGTAACATTAAATGTTACGTCAAGAAATATATTTGTAAAACAGAGAGAGAATCGTCTGGTCACTGATAACACAGGAATACCTTGGTCAGCTGAGATGCCAGAAACATTACACCATCATGAGCTGCTATCATACTTAACTTCTGTGAAATGTGTACAAAATGATGGGTCACAAATAATATAAGAAATCAAATAAAATTTACAGGTAATCACACACACAAACCTTATCCTACCAAAGTTCTTTATCTAACTGTCTTAAACGATTGGGCTGAGTTAGAGGAAATTATTAAGGATTCTATCTCATTCGGAACAATACTAACCAACCAGTCATTCAAATTATATTATAGAAGCCACTAATGGAATGAAAACTTTTTCCTATCAAAAATTATTGTTTACATCATTAAGCTAGGTTTAAACTGTGGCATAAGGAGCTGAATTTTAGACATCTTGAGAATGCATAGTTTGGGGTATTTTATTAAACCTTCCTCTCTAAAGAAGGGCTACTTCACAACGTTGTTTTATTGTTTGTATTTATTTATTTTATTGTTAACTAAACCACAGAGAAATAAGGTACTGAGGAAACAGTCAATGGTGCAAGTGATGTCTATTGTCTAACACCAGTAGCTGGTGTCATGTACAACGCTCAAGATGGAGGAGGTCCATGGGCTGTGTCCGATAGGAACTTTCGCACATTGCTCGCCGCTCAGGTTCTTCCTTGCTCGTCACAAGTAGATTTTCCCTAGCATGTACTTATGCGCTGCGCACATATAACATACGAAAGCGCACTGTCGTCTCGTAAGCAAGTCTCCTATGTACCTTTCTTCTCTGTGACAAAACATTTTATTTTTCAAGTAACAGTGAGGAATAATGAAAAAAACAGCATTTAATTTCTCACCCAGCCTGCTTTTATCAAGTTAATTTGAGTTTGGATCAGATTTTGATTCCATGAGAAAAAAAGGATTTTCCAAATAAATTAAACGTTTCAAGGTTAAAATATATAATTCATAAAAGTACAAGTGTAATGAATATGCCCAATCAAATAGAAAGCCATTTCAAATCATTGAAGCTTTATATGTCTGCACTAGTGTTACCCTCCTTGTTGTTACCGACTCCTTCATTTGCTACAAGAGAAACTTCATGAAGTTCGATTTCTTGACTGTAACTTTCTGGAATATAGAAATGCGAAAGAGAAGTCAGTAGTGCGATCGCTCTTATCAGAGAATCTGGAGGATCCAAGTCTGTGACTGGGGCACCTTTAATATTTTCAGGAATATCATCAAATGTTTTTGATAAACTCAACAAAAAGTCTCTTACATTTTGTACTGTCAAGGAAGAAAAACTCTGTTCCCTCTTAAACTCTGTACACAAGTTTTCTTCTACACTTCTATCACCATCACTGTACAAGATGTCTAAAGCTTTCAAAAAAGAATAAGGGGGGTCAAGGTCGAGAACATTCATTGACTTAAGTCGCTCTGGAACATCGTTTAAAATGGTTGATAGATATAAGAACATGTCGGATACATCTTGTATTGTCATTACAGAAGCTGATAGGCCTATGAAATGCTCAAATTTGGAAATATTCTTCTCTAAATCTTCAGGTCTTTTTTTGTCTCTGTTAAAAGTGTACAATTTAGGTGTGCGGAAACTCTCTGTATCTAATGACGAATTGTTCTGTACATTAAAATTGTCTTTCAAATCTTTCGGTTTATTTTTACAATTGTTTAGTTCAAACTTGCTTTCCAAGAGCCCTGTAAGTTGTTCTGTGTTTTCTCCTCCTGATTTAAAACAATCTCTGAAATAAGCTGTTGAGCCAAGAGCATAAAGCGCCTCAATCAAGGATTTGGGCGGACTTAGAACAGATATAGATTCGGATTGTATATCTATGGGAGATTGTTTCAAAGAAGTAGACAAGAAATAAAATGTTTCAGCCAAACCTTTCACTAATAAATTTGTTCCATCAGCAACTCTTTTCTTTTTTTCAACATTTGAAAAACTCATACTTTTTTCCAATAAATAGTGGCCACAAACTTCGTGGGATTTCTCTTTGGGAAAGGACTTCAGTCTTGTCTCTTGTAGATATTCAGGAAGGTCATTAATTTTTGTTGAAATCTTCATTAGTACGTCGGATAACTCCCCCACTGAGTAATCCCATGGACAAAATTCATAAGTGTTACTTTCTATAGCTTTATCTAAATCTCCCATGCGTTTAGCAATCTCATTTTCCTCAGCGGTGTCATTAAAACCGGATACAACTTGGAGGGTTTTGAGCATCTTGTCAATTTCTGATTGAAAGTCACAACTATCTGGAGCCTCTCTGAAAACCCATTCGGAATTAACTCGCTCAATCGTAGTCTTACCACTAGCCAGCTTTTCACTTTTGTACTGGTGTTTTAAACCAAGTGTCGAGGTTTCATTTAATTCTTCAATATCAGATTTATGGTTTGATAAATTTAAAGGGCAAGAAGAACTATTGTTCTCTTTGCTTGTAAAATCCACAGAATCTTCTTCTGGCTTGTCATAGCTAGTTTCCTCTTCATCTTCATCTATTTTTTCCATAATTGTTATATAGCATCCTTGAGGTCTGTAGTATAAAATATCTTCATCAGCCAATTGTTTTCCTTCTATTTCAGTCTTAAAATCCTTTATAAACCTTTTAGTTTCATCGTCACGAGGGTCATCTTCATCGTCATCTCCAAAATTTGAAGTTGCACTTTTATACTCTACACTCTCAAGTGAACTACTGGGTGACTCGTCTATTCTTATAACTCTTTCAGATTCTCTATTTTGATTCAAAATTTCCTCTTTCATCATTTTCATCTTCAGTAATTCTTCTTGTACTAAATTTTTCAGTTCCGGTCTAATGTTTTTAATCTCATCGGAGTTCCCATTTGAAAAACAAACGTCTTCACCAACAGCGTTCAAGCTGTACTTGTACTTTTCCAAACCGTCTCCAGCTTTACTTTTTAAACTTGTTCCCTTTATGAGTTCCTGATCATAGGATCCACCATCTCCAAAATCACTTCCAGATTTCAGTCTTTTGTCACAACATGATTTTAACACCTCTCGAATTGGCTTTGGTATTTCAAAATTGCTTCGATCTAAAGTCTGTTGGGAAATTATTCTCTCTACCTCTAGGGCTGCTCTCTTGACCTCCAACTTGTTTTTGGACAAAGTCCTTCTCAACTGTTCCAGCTTTTGTTCCAGTTCCTTGAAGTTGTCTGGTTCAATCCCCGCCTCTGTTCTCACCATTTCCCTGATGACCCTGATGCGTTCCTTGCTTTCTTCACTTTGCACTGCTTGGTTTGTTACCTCCTCCTCAATATCACTAGAAGTCATGCTTTGCAGTACATTCATCACAAGCTCCTTGAAATATCTGTCTCTGTAGCTGCAAAATAGATTTAAGGATTTTATTAAATTTAGTCAATTTTGTGACACTTAATTTAAATTACAAACTAGCAGTTTTACCATGGATTTGAAACTCAGTATGGATCTGGAATGAAAGAAAAAAGTCATTAGAAGCTGATTAAAATAGAAAGAAGGCTACTACAATCGATTTGACCCTTTCTCAAAAGCATTACGTGGTAACTTTAGAAGCGAAGGGGCCGAGTCCTAGATTGAAGTTTAAAATAATGAGCCATGAACCTTCCTATGTACATATAGACTGTCTCATCAAAGGTTCTCGTCAGATTGGATCCTTGGAATAGACCTATGTTGGACAAAAATTTAGGTAATTCAATTTGAAATTTCAAAATGGTGGAAATTTAATTTGTTATAAATTAAATTGCTAAAATAACATGGCAGATTATATGAAAAATGTCTAATACACTTTAATTTTTCATTTAAAATTTCCTATCAAATGACACCAATAAAAAACATATCGAATAACAAATAGCTGAAATATTACGAGTTTTAGTTGTAAAGCAGACAAAATAGGGTGCAACCTGACGAGCTTCACCACAATTTACAACTCAAAATCGTGATATTCCAGCTATTTTTATTCAATCTTTTTAAGCTCAGTTATTATTCAACTTTGAACTGGTGTTTTGTAGGATTTTTTTTTTTCAAATGCAAAATAAAATGTTTTAGATTTTTTTCATCCATGTTTTAGTAATTCATTATGTCATAAAAATTAAAATGACAACCAATTTTAAATTTCAAATTGGACCAACTTAATATTTTTTCAACATAGG